CGATACACAAGCTGCTATGACACCTTAATTTCCCTCCGGGGATGAATAAAGTACTCTATCTATCTATCTATCTATCTATTCTGATTCTGATAAGTCCCAATCTATTTCTTTTAAATGGTCACTGTTTGTTTCTTGAAGAAAGACAACATCAAGTCTCTTCTGTTGAATTGTTTCTGATAGACAGGCTCTTTTCTGTGCATCTCTGCCCCCGTTTACATTTAATGAAGCCACCTTTAAACCCTGCATAAGAAGAGAGGAGAGAGAAAACAGAAAACAGAAAAACAGACAGTAAGAGTGAAACACCCAGTGATGTATGAGTTTCATTTTCTTTACTGTTTTTGTGTTCAATGCCTTTAAACCTTTTCTAACCCCAGTGACAAGTTTCTTTAGACAGTAGCGTTTCTTTCAATCCAGTAAGTTTAACCCAACAACTTTCTTGTGGTAACTGACTGAATTAATTTTTCTACATCCGGAAATTATCTTTTACATAAACCACCCTACCTAACCTATCATCTAGAAAAGTATTAATCTCCTCCACAGAATACAGGTCAATGTTCTGAGAAACAACAAACAACAACAGACACACTTTCGAAGGCAGAATTCACGTCCATGTCAGCATCATCATCACTATGACAACCAGCAGGCCTTATCATCTCAGTCTCCTGTTCAGCAGGACTGTCCTCAGCATCCTTATTCTGTCCAGACCCATCCACAGAGCCGCTGGGCACCGGGACACTAACAACCGTGGACACAATCACAGCTTCAGTCTGCACTTCTGCTGAAATAACCATAGACACCGGGCTGCAAACACTCATAGAACCGAATATAGACCTGCCTTCACTGGCAGACCCAACGAAAGAGCCACTGGCACCTCCTTGTCAGTACAAAGAAGCTGTCTGCTCCTGTCTCTGCTTTTTCAGCAAAAAACACACTGAAAAGATATTTCGATAAAAGTCTGGCAGAGACGAGGAGCTCAACTTCCCGGAGTCCAAAAAACCCAGTGTGAAGTCCAGACCCAAACCACCAAAATGTCTCAGGATGCAGCAGGACAGAGGTCGCCATGCCATGTTAGTTAGTCTAGTCAGCAGCCTCTGAACAAACCTGAGGCAAAAAGCCGCTACCCTGCTGGCCAGGTGACCCAGACCCTGTCCACCCTCCTTTGGAAAGAACAGGAAACTCTGTGGAATCCAGTGCAGCTTGTCCCAAAAATATTAACTAACACTCTGGATTTGTGACAACAGAGAAGCTGAGGGGTCCACCCAGGCCAACCGATGCTACAGAGCAGAAGACACAAGATTGTTTGTGATCAGCACTCAATGTTTGTAAGATATTTTTGATCAAATCTAGGTCCATTTTTCTAGATGGCCTTTTACCTTTTACAGAAAATGATCCCAGTTTTCCATTAAAAAAGTATTGTTTCCCAGAAAAACTCCCAGATACTAAACCCTTCTTTTTTTTCCAGATCAAGCCTCCTGGTAGCCTGAGCTGATCCCTCAGCCTGTCCCCGACCAGCACTGCCTCGCTCTTCTCCCAGTTTACCTTGGCAGAGGAAATACAATCAAAACTTTTTACAGTGTTTACTAACATGTTGATGTCTTTTTGATTGTTAACCATCATGATGACATCATCAGCATATGCTGACAGTTTAACCGGAATCCTGCAGTCAGGAAAGGAAACACCACTCAGATTAGATCTGAGCTTGTGGAGCTCAATGGCTAACAAGTAGAGCATGCCTGAAAGAGAGCAGCCCTGTCGGACCCCCTCTGAACACTGAAGGGAGCACTCAGACCTCCATTGATTTTCAGAACACTCATTATGTCACTATAGAGAACCTTGATCTTGGCTGTGAAACCTGGGCTGAAACCAAAGCATCTCAGGTCTGCCAAAGATACTGATGCTCAATCCGGTCAAAGCCTTTTCCTGTTCTATCAAAATCAGACCAGTGTCAAAGGCCAATGAGCTAGAGACCTCCAAAACATCAGCCTGCCGGGAACACAGTAAGTCCAGTGTGGATGACAGAAGCCATCACCTCTCTCAGTCTGGTGGCCAAAACCTTGGACAGAATCTTATAGTCCAAGCAGAGCAGTGAAACTGGTTTCCAGTTCTTCATCTCCTGCAGCTTAGAGGCAGATGTCCATTCTCCAGACTGTTTGTCAGGTCTTCACCCAGTATGGACCAGAAGGACTTCACTGACAAAAAATCACTGGGAGAGCATCTAACCCTGAAACTCTCCCATTCTGGAGTGTCATTAGAGCAGTGTATAGTTCTTGTAGGGGGACCCGAGCGTCCAGTCTCATATTTGTCTTATTTTCCACCTTAGGAAAACCAGTGAGGAAACTGTCCCTGATGTCTGGGTTGTCTGCCAGTTTATTCTTAAAAAGGTCTCCATAAAAATCTGACACTGAATTTTCTTATCCCAGATGAATCTGAGATTTTAGAACCACCACTGGAGTGTGGATTGTTTTTCTCTTTCCATTTTTCTTCTCCAGACCAAAGAAGAGCTGAGACGGGGCATCCATCTGTGTGACGTCCATGAAACCTGACCAGAGCTCCCTGTGCTGTGACACCCAGCAGGTTGGCCAGATATGACTTTTTTGATTTGAGGGAGTTTATAAAGCCTCCTTCTCCTGTAGAATCTACTAAACCAAGCAATTCTACCACCTGAGTCTCCAGGTCCTTCATAGATCTGGTTATATCTCCAGTGATATTGTGAGTGAACTGCTGACACAGCTGTTTTATCTGAGTCTTGCCAAAGTCCCACCACTGTTGGACACTGGCAAACTCAGATTTAATTTTCCTGTGATTACACTAAAAATATTCAAAAGTTTCCTAAAAACCTGATCAGAAAACACTGAGGCCCTGAACAGAAAGGAAAACTAAAAGCCATCATGGACGAGCCCCCTCTTATCTCCTCTCTGCTAAACTGAGGCAGCTCAGGAGTCCGTTCACACTCATCCAGCCATGAGCCTCAAAGCACCTGAGGGGTTCCTCTGTGCCATCAGACATTAGACTGCATAAAACCACACCTTCCGTCAAACACTGAAAACTATATTTCAGGTAAGAACTGCTGCACATTTTGCACTCTTTATATTACAAAGAATGGACAAATTGCACAACAACACATCTTTAATCCCCATCTCTATATTGCACATTTTTGAAAAAAACAGCCGTGTGTATTTATAGCATTAGTTCTACTTTGTTGTATATAATATTTCTATTTTTATTCATATATATTTATCTCACCATATTTCCCCTTGCACTACTTTCTTGTGCTACTGTGTAATTTGTGAATTTCCCATTGAACAGAACATATATTTACTTGGGAATAGTTATCTTTATCTTCCTCTTCACCCTCCTGATCCTCATTTTCAGGTGTCTCAGATTCTGATTCGGACTCTGCCTCGGCAATGGGCACCCTCAGGAAGGTGATGTTGTGGTAGCTGCTGGTCACGTTGTCACGGCTACAGCTGAGGCTGTTGATCTCTGACAGTTGTTGGTCTGAAGTCACAAAGGTCAAAGGTAAAACCTCCTTTGAGATCTTGTTGTCATCTTCACTGTCAACTCCTGTAAAGTAATTATAAACATATTACTTGAAGAAAAAATTAAGTGTCATATTTGTAAACACCTGGAACAAAAAATAAACATTAAATGTTAAAACACAACAAACACAAATGGATAAAACATTAATGAAGTTCCTGGTCTCGTAACCCTAACCCTACCGTTGTTTTCTTGTTCATGGTTCTTCTTTCCAATAAGAGTCCAGATGTGCTCCAAGATCCCTGACCTGGTCCAGACCACAGCCCTGTTGATCCGATTTATGGCAATCTGCAAATTGTTTTCACCTTCATCTTCTGGAGCTGCCAGATTATCTCCACTGAACGAGCTAAGCAACAGGGCCAGGAACAGATTTAGGACCTGAAACCAGACCAAGAAAAGATTCAGGCCCTGAAACCAGACCTAGAAGCAAACAGTACGTCAGGTTAACTTTCAGCATGCGGTGACTCACCACTAGGTTTCCAATGACCAGGACCATCATGTAGACAATCAGACACATGGTCTGACCGGAGACCTCCATGCAGTCCCACATGGTCTCGATCCACTCTCCACACAGGACTCTAAAGATGATGAGAAAGGCGTGGAAAAAGTCGTTCATGTGCCAACGAGGAAGTTCACAGTCCTCTGCGATGCGACAGACACAATCTTTGTAGTTCTTCCCAAACAGCTGCATTCCAACGACGGCAAAGATGAAGACAATGATTGCTAGAACAAGAGTCAGGTTCCCCAGAGCTCCCACAGAGTTCCCGATGATCTTAATCAGCATGTTGAGGGTGGGCCATGACTTGGCCAACTTAAAGACTCGCATCTGGACAAAAGAGAGGGAGCAAAGCATGTGAGAGCTGGGTGAGGGGACAAGAATAAAGACAGGTAACGATGAAACCATACTGACCAATCGGAATGAGCGCAGCACAGACAGGCCCTGAACATTAGCCAGTCCAAGCTCCACCAGACTCATGGTGACGATAATGCTGTCAAAGATGTTCCAACCCACCTATTACCATGACAACAGAACAGACACGCATCACCATGGTAACAGTTTCCACATATCATCACTGAGAAGCGACAAACAGGAAGTCTGACCTGAAAGTAGTAATATGGGTCCATGGCCAGAAGCTTGAAGAGCATCTCAGCTGTGAAGATCCCTGTGAAGACCTATTGCAGTGGATCAGAGGTCAACAGTGTGACTGTAATGTCATGACTCTGGTGACTGATGGAACCTGCTGCCGTCAAACGGCTGTGGTTATGCAATGACCCATGTCAGGAATTTTCTTCACTCACCAGGTTCCCGACACTCAGCAGCTCCTCAAACTCCTCCGTCATTGGATAATGCTCTAAGGCCATAAAGACAGTGTTGAGAACGATGCAGATGGTGATGCTGAGGTCAACAAACGGGTCCATGACGATGGTGTTGAGCCGCTGTTTCAGCCACCTCCAGCACCTGCAGCAGTTCCACTTCAAGAAGACTTCAACGAAGGCATACCAACACACGGGACACGTCCTCTGGTCGTCCTCAAAGTCTGAAATATCATAAAGTTTGAATGTCTTATCAGTCTAACAACTGAATAGTCATGTGACCTCCTAACCCTAACCCAAACATAAGCTTCATCAATTCTCCTAACCCTAACCCCCACCATCACTCAGGGTTCTGCCCTACACTCACTACATCAGAATCTACACTGTGGTGACTGATGGGAAATAAAAAACAACTCAACCCAATACAACCAAACAACCAACCAACCAAAAAAACAAACAAAGATCTACTGTTCTGACCTCTAACAAAGTGAAGCATTTCATTCCAGGAACAGACAATGTGCGTGTGTGTGTGTGGTACCTTCTATGGCAGTGTGTTCTTGGTCATGACTCTGCATTGCATTTGGGTTGTGTGATTCTGATAGCTCCGCCCTGCAGGCTGCCTCCTGGAACAACAGTGGTAATATAAGTAATATTTATGTTGTATCAATGTTGTGATAATGTTGTATCTCTGTTGTATCAGATTTCATTCTATGTTGTATTTATGTTGTATCTACACTGTATCTGTGTTGAATTTATGTTGTATCTTTGTTGAGTCTATTTATGTTTCAATGTGTTTCCCTCTTCATTCATGTTGTTTGTGTTAGTCTTCGTCAGCTCTGACGACCTCGTCTCTCTTCTTCAGCGCTTCCAGGATCTCAGCGTACTCCTCCTCTTTATGTTTTGCCTCAGAAATTGTGGCCTCATTCTGCTCTGCGTACGCCATTGCAACCACCGCCAGGATCAGGTTAATGAGGTAGAACGAGCCCAGGAAGATGACGACCACAAAGAAGATCATGTAGGTTTTACCTGCCGCTCTTAATGTCTGAAGAGAGAGAGACAGGTGAGAGAGAGAGAGCAACAGGTGAGAGTTGTAACCAGTGATGACATCTCTCTAATCTGCTCTTCTTACTTACGAGCTGGAAGAGATTTTCCCAGAAGTCCTGGGTCATGAGTCTGAACAGAGCCAGAAATGCCCAACCAAACGAGTCATAGCTGGTGTAACCATAGTTTGGATTTCTACCTGTTTTCAGACACATGAAACCCTCTGGACAGACCCTGATCACATCATCATTAATGAATTTCATCATCATCAATATCATCATATTTGTCATCAATTTTGTCGCCATCATAGTATTGTCAAAATCATCATCATAAATATTATCAGTTTCATCATCACCACCATCATCGTCATGGAAACGTACCCTGCATCAGAACTGTTTCCACAGAGCAGAGGATCCACGTTTCCAGGAAGAAAGTAATAATTTTCTGTCCGAAATAAAACACATGATTTGACTGGAACCAATAAATTCGAAAAAAATGTTTTGATTGATGAAAAAGATTTTGGTAAAATAAATAATTCAGACCTTGGTTGTTGATATACTGATAGAAATCAAAGTTACTGGTTCCTGTGTCATTGTGACAGGTTTGGTTGCTGAGGGTGATGTTGCCATGGTAAAAGTTTTTGGGATCAGCATCAGGAGAGTGGTTGCTCAGCAGTGGAGGTATCAGGACACACTTTTGTCTCAGGTTTCCCATGAAGAGCTGAAGACCGATCAAAGCGAAGACACTGAGGCAGAACACCGTCAGGATCATGACATCAGCCAGCTTCTTCACTGATTGGATGAGAGCTCCAACAATCGTCTTCAGACCTGAGTAGGATACTGTGGATTAATACTCACGGACCAATTAGAAGGATGAAAATCAACAACTGATCAAAAGAGACTGAAGGTGTGTTCGACCTGGACTTGGTCTGACTATGTCTGACCTGATCCACCGACATGACCTGTCTGCAGTTGTAGGGGAGGAGTGAAGCAATGCAGACGAAAAGTCAGACTTTTTCTACTTGTAGCATCAGTGAGACGAGATCAACGAGCAATCTTGCAGTTTTTGTTTTTTTCATTGTAAATAAAATGGATATTTTAGAAATCCTTGTGTTTTTGCACACCAGCTGAAAATTGCGTGACAGTGAAGCCTTCAGGCAATCAGAACAGAGTTGTGATGTCAGAGAAGCAACTCCAAGGTGCAGCTGGAAACGGTCTGACTGGAGCTGGCCCGCTCCTGCCATGTTTTAAAGTCACATGACGTGGTGACGTGCTAAATGAAGTCGGACAAACAATCTGACCGCCAAGCATTGTGTTTGGACCAGCATGCATCGCTTTAGGTCAGCGCTGTATCAAGTCAAACACACCTTGAGCTGAACCTGAAGACGGATTCTGCTGCAACACTGTTTACCCCTGAAACTCTAAAAGTGTTTTGTGGAGTCAAACACTTCACCCCCCCTCCATCACAGTGCTGAGTAGAGAATCTGTGAATTTTCATTTTAGTGTGAACTATCTCTTTAAGGAGGAGTGAAGGTGTTAAATTCACCAAAAGATGTGAAACACTAACGAACCAGGGATGACTGTGATGGTCTTCAGTGCTCGAAGAACTCTGAACGTTCGCAATGCAGAAACGTTTCCCAAATCTACGAACTCTGTCAAATATCTGAAACACAGATACATCCTCATCATCATCACATCATCATCATCATCATCATCACATCATCATCTTCATCTTCATCATCATCATCACATCATCATCATCATCA